GCCTGTAGTCCCAGCTACGTGGGAGGCTGAGGCAAGAGAATCGCTTGAGCCCAAGAGTTTGAGGTTGCTGTGAGCTGTGACGCCATGGCACTTTATCCAGGGTGGCAGCTTGAGACTCTGTCTCAAAAAAGAAAAAAAAGAAAGAAAAAGAAAATAAGCAACTAATCCATGCCTACAGTGGCTTGATAAACAATGTTCCCTTCCTCCCCTTTATCCCAGATGCAGTTTTTAACTACTGTAGTTGCTTTTTAATTATGCTAACAGATACCTACATAGTACTTACTATGTGCTGAGCTTTATTCTAAGTGTTTTAGGTATATTAACCCATTTACTTTGCATAGCAACTTTGTGGAGCAAGTGGTGCTGTTTTCTCTAGTGTTGATACCTGGAGGATAAGTGATTTGCCCAAGGTCATACAACGGGTAGGGGATGAAGCCTGAATTCGAAGCTGCATCTGGAATCTGTGGGCTCATACACTGAATATCCTTGTGACTTTTGACACCAAGGCCTATCATAAGCTTTCAGTCTGGAGTTAGGTCAATGAAACTAGCCCTCGACCTCAGATCTCTCCCTGTGAGTTTCCTTGTGAAAGCAGCATCCTCACAATGACTCTGTTGGCTCAGCTCATCTGTTTGGGAGGAGAATGTGGTAGTTCCTGTCTATTCCCATGTCCTGCCAGGGCCTTCTTGTTCCAGGAGAAATGTAACCCAGTTTTCTCTCTGATTCCACAGAAAAGGCAACAGATGGCTCCTTGCAAAGTGAAGACTGGACATTGAACATGGAGATCTGCGACATCATCAATGAGACGGAGGAAGGGTACGTGAACCCCTCCCTTTTCTTCAGCGATTGCTTTGTGCTAGGCCTGGGATGCCTTGCTCAGTCTTGGGGTTCACTCAAAGCCCATGAGAGCCTTTAGATGATGAGTTTTATGCTTTGGCATTTAAGAAGTTAATTATTTGTCCTCTCCTGTCCATCTCTCCCCCACTTCCTCTGCGGCTGCACTCAAGGTAGAGCAGTGGCACCTTTTTAATCCTGCTCCAATTGCAGGTGGAGACAAAGCTGCTTGCTGACTTGGTCCCAGTGGCCCTTAGTCTCTGCAGCCAAACTGTCACCTCTTCCTGTCCCTCTTTCCCTGTCCCTCTCTCTCCTTCACAGGTTTGTGGCTGTCTCCGCTCTGGTTTGCTGGAGGACAGCCCCAAGAGGAGGTCCAGGGCATGGCCAGGCAAGGCAGAGAGTGGGAAAGTGGTGTGTGTGGTGCAGAGCTATTTCAAGCACGGGTAGACTTAGCCCACAAGTTGTTCTGCTTGCGTTCCCGCACTGCTGGATCTGTTGTTTTTGTTGTTGTTGTTTCCTATGCCTGCTTCTTTTACTCTCTATTTTTGCTTCTCCCAAATTAGTCTACATTTAGCCCTCAATCCACACCATAAACACTTATTTCACTTTAGCCGTGCACTCTTAAACCATCTTCAGAGTGGCAGTGACAGCAGGTGGGACTCAGGCAGCCCTGGGCTGGCATCTCAGCACTGTTACTCACTAGCCTTGCCATGTGTGACTGAAGGACCAGCCTCTTAAGTTTGGTCCTGCCTTCATTTAGCAAATGTTTCTTCAGCGACTGCTTTGTGCCAGGCCCTACTGTCGACACAGCAGTGGGTACAAATAGGCTCTCTCCTCTCTAGTGGGGAGGCAGGCTGCAAACAAGACCGTTAAACAGGAGCTGGTCAGATGGGGACAAGATCGTGGAAGGAGACGGGGTGGAAAACAGGGATTTAGCAATTTTAAATAGAATGGTCATGGAAAGTCTCACAGAGAAGGTGACCTTGAACGTATACAGGAAGAAGGTGAGGGAGTGAGGGGTGAGGCTCATACAGGGAAGAACTGCCCAGGCTCGGGGAGCTACAAGCACAAATGCACTGAGATAGAGGGTGTCTGGTGTGTTTGAGGAACAGCAAGGTGTCTGATAGGCTCAGAGTAGGGGGACAGAGGAAGAGTGTACCCAGAGATGAGGTTGACAGCGTACTGGGGATCTGTGTGGGCTCCAGAGGGACTCTGGCTTTGACTTTGGAGGGCTTAAGCAGGAATGAGACTGTCTCGCTTTCGTTGTAAAGAGATCACTCTGTCTATTGTGTTCAGAATGGCCTGGCTGGGTCAGACCAAGTGCAGAAACAGAAAGCCCAGTGAGGTTTTCACAGTAACCCTGGTGTGAGATGATAGCTGAGTTGATGGCAGACTTGCGCAGGGCAGTGGGCAAGACAGCAGGAGATTCTGAGTGTGTTTAGAAGGTAGAGCCAATGATATCGGCTGATGTGGGAACAGGAGCAAAGAGGCGAGGGCAACCACAGGTTTGGGTGAACAGCCACAGGTGGAACCTCTGTTTCCTAAGATGGAGCAGTCCAGGGAGCATAGACAGAAGTAGACCTGAGCTGCCAGAGAGCAGGTGATACTGGGGTTGGGCCTGTGATGCAGGAAAGTGTGGGAGTCTTCAGTGAAAGGGGGCATATTTTTGCCAGCCAAACATGGGTGATCAGATCCATGCTGGGCACACATGTGACTCATAAGTGGTTGCTGGAGACGTCACTGGGCTGAGAACAGCTGCCCTCTTTCAGACCCTCTGAGGCTCCTCTCTTCCTCACACCTCCTCAGGCACCATTCATTTACTAGTTTATCCACTTGTCCAGCAATTTACTGACCCCACCTATCAGGAGGCGGTGGCTCCAGGACACCAGTGTGAATGTGCAGTTTGCCCTAAAGGCCTTACCTGGGTGACTGGCCAGGGCTGTGGCAGGTTCACGTGCCTTCTGGAAGGGCTAGCAGGAGGGGGAGATGTGCCCAGTAGCTAAGGGAGGCATGAAAATGGCCAGTGTGTTGAGGTAGACAGGGTGGTGTGAGGGGGACGAGGAATGTCTAGAATTATGCTGGATGGGTGGTCACCATCAGGTGCTTCACCTGACCTGATGTCTGGGCTCTGGCCCTGTCCTTCAGTTCCTTCCTGCTATAGAACTTGGTAACTTACTCCCTTGCTAGCAAGCCTTCAGGCTGTCTCAGGCTTTTAGGGTAAAGATCCTTAACCAGGCCCTATGTGAGGAACCCTCTGCAGCTCTGCTTGGGGTGTTCTGGTCTCACTGATCTTTCCACTCCTTGAATTTTTCACATTCCTGTACCCAGTTTGAAATTCTCTCTATAAATTTGAGCAATGTACAAATACTTTGGCAACTCTTCTTTTCCAGTGAATTGCTCAAATACTCCTATGGCTTGAGGTTAGGAAGACCAGGGTCCTCAGGAGCTTCCTCATTGTAGATGGGCTGGAAGCCTTCTTTTTCAACTCCTCACCTCACAGAAGGCCTGGTCACACACACCTTCTTCCTCAAGTGGCCCAATCTTTTGTTCCTGCATTTTTGAGTGAGAGCACCTCAGTGATTCCTGAGCATATTCTGTCCTTACCTCTGCTATAATGTGAATTTCGAATCTCTTCCTAGCTGGGCATGGTGACATGCAGCTGTGGTCCCAGCTACTCTGAAGGCTGAGGCAGGAGGATCGCTGGAGCCCAGGAGTTTGAGGCTGCAATGAGCTATGATCACACCACTTCACTCTAGTCTGGGTTACAAAGTGAGACCCTGTTTCTTAAAAAAAAAAAAATCAATCTGTTCCTAAGTGGGAAAAACCCCATGAATTAGGCTCATGTTAGGGTACCCCACTTATTCCTTTGCACCCTTCCCTTAGGGTCCTCTGTCCTGCTGTCCCATCTGTTCCCTCACCTTCACCTGAAGTACTTCCTATTATTCATGGATTTCAATTTGAATCCCATTTCCCTGATGTCCTTCCCTCTGATTTGGACAAGTCCCCATTATATGATTTCATCATGCCCTGTATTATATTAATGCTCATCACAGTTTAAACAGGTCTGTATGGTGTTTATTAGTGTCTGTCTTGCCTTACAGCCCCATGAGACTGTGAGCTCCATGAGACTGTGAGCTCCATGAGGGCAGCGGTTCCATCTATTTTACTCACCTTTACTCACCTTTATTTGGCTCTTGCTAAATATTGGTTAAGTAAGTGAATAAATAAATTAATGGGGTCCCTAAGGCACTCATAGGGTGATGAGGGATGCAGATGTGTAAATATATTCATGACACAGCAGGACGAGTTCTCAGCAAGAGAGGGAGAGAGAAGCTGTATGTAGCTACGCAGCGAGACCATCACAGCAGCCAGCCTTGGGGCTGTTGGCAGCAAAGACTTCTTGGAGGAGGTGACTGGAGTCTTAAAGGATGCCAGGGTATCAACTAAGTAGGGCAGTGGATGACAGGGTGGGTGTGGAGGAGACAGACCCCCCTGGCTGGCTGGCAGTCTGAGCAGCAGATGTTCAGGAAGATAGTATAGTGGGATTGGTAGGCAGAGCCTGGAGCACTTGCCTGATGTGGAATCAGGTCACAACTTGTGCAGCCCAGAGTGTGTTACTTTCCACTCCCTGTGTCCCGGTTTCCTCTTTTATAAAATGGGGTTACCAGTAGTACCTATCTCATAGGGTTGTTATAAGGATTAGAAGAGTAAATACATATAAAGTATCTGGCTATATAAATATATCTTCATATCCATGCTATATATATTAATGTATGGCTTTACTGTTTTTCCTTTCAAGATTTCCATTGCCCATGACTTTTGCCATCATGTTCATTTGGGGTGTCAGTTGTCTGGTCCTTGGCGATGATCCCTGTGGGTTCAGCACCCTTACCCTGTCTGCCATCTCTGAGCACTTGCTGTGTGCCAGGCCCTATGCCCAGCCCTGGATCTCATCATCTCAGGCAGCCCCTCACCAGCCCTATAAGGTGGAGACAGCCTGTTGTAAAATTGAGGAAACTGAGGCCCAGAGTGGTTTGCTCACTTGCCAAAGGCCTTGCAGCACAGCTCGGAAGGGCACATGCGAGATGCTGGCCCAGGCTGGCCTAGCTCTAGCTGCTGAAGCTCTGCCTGCCTTTTGTTCCGACCCAGTCCTTACCAGTGGGTGCTGTGGTTCTGGTGGATGCAGACTGGTATTTTTTTTTGAGACAGAGTCTTGCCCTAGGTAGAGTGCCGTCGTGTCATAGCTCATAGCAACCTCCAACTCGGTCTCCAGCGATCTTCTTGCCTCATTTTTTTTTGTGTATATATATATATATATATATATTTTTTTTTTTTTTTTTTAGTAGAGAGAGGGGTCTCAAGTTTTTGCTCTCAATGGTCTTGAACTCATGAGCTCAAGTAATTACCTGCCTCGGCCTCCAGAGTGCTAGAATTTCAGGTGTGAGCCACTGTGCCTGGCTGGATGCAGACTGGTTAACTGCCCCACAGGCCTCTCCCTGGGCTTTCCTAATCTCTAGGGCTGAAGTTATTGCCAGCCTACAGGGTGCTGACACATGAGGCCTTGTGTGGCTGTCCCTTTGTCATTAACCTGGACTGGCCGGCTGAACAACCCACCCACAGTGTTTTAGACCCTGTATACCAGGCCTCACCTGGACCGACCTAATTAGGGCACAAGCATATGAGTTTGAGAATCATTCTCCAGGTGATTCTGATGCATGGTTCTGATGAGGAACCCCTGACCTGGGTCATTTTCATGACTGTCCCTGGGCCTTCCCTGGCTCATGGAATCTTTGTCTGTACTCCCACCTCTGGGCTGGAAGGGCACAGAGAAGGGTTTGGGTAAATGATAAAGCAGTAGAGCAGCATAGTGGGGGAGGGTTAGACTGATGGAAGAGGTAAGCATCTTCCTGGGGTGATGAAGAGAACGCTTCTCAGAAGAGCAGTCTGGAGCTAAAGGACAAAGTGGTGTAAAGGCTGTGGCCAGAGGCCATAAGTGACAAGTTGATTGTGCGGCTGGAGTCCAGAGAAGAATTCTTATGAGTATGGGGTCCGAGGAGACTTTGAGGAGGAGCCTGGAGATGCCCCTGAGGCCAGATCGTGAGGGCCTAGGGATGCCCACGAGGCCTGACCTTCCCCTCCTCCAAAAGCTGCCGGGGCTGGGCGCCATCTCCCGCAAGCCCTCATTTCTTCCTGATCCTTTCCTCCTGCTCTATCTTGGCTCTTGACTTCTCTTTCTTCCCGGTTTCCAACTCCACACTATCTAATCTGCTGCTGCTCCTTGAAACTTTGTGATTCCTCTGACATGACTTTGATCCTTCTCTCTGAAGCTTCTCCCCCAGGGAGAGAGATAAATATTGCTTTTGTGCTCACGCATCACACCCAGAGCCTGTGGATGAATTTTCATTTTAAACCTCATTCAGGAGCCTGCTGGCTGTCTGATCTCCTACCCAGTGGCTGCCACAGGGGAAGAGAGTGCAGGTGGCCTGGCAGCCAGAAGTGACTGTGGCCCTCAGGAATTGTTCCCATCTTCCGGCTCTGTAAAGTTCAAGAGAACAGGAAAGGGACTGGATTGAGAGGAATGGCACCTATGGGTCAGGGACAACTATGATTTGGCTGAATCTTGGAGAGAGGACATTAGTCCATGTTCCTGGCCGGTAGCTGCTGACTGTTACCATTTCTCAGGTCACAGACAGCCATCACAGCAGAGAGCTGGTTAAGTCCTATGGTTACAGAAATTAGCATCTCTGTTTGGAAATGGCAGCCATGCTGCAGACATGCTTGGTGGGGCCCATCCCCCCCACCCCCCACCCCGCCCCGAAAGCCTGATCTCATCAGCCCTTTAACCTAGGAGCTAAGAATTCTTGCGGGGCAGCCATGTTTTACACTGGGAATAGAAATAGGTGATTCAGGGTGTTTCAAAAACTTCTCTCAGAACTCTTGCAGGCCTTACTCCTGTGACTTTCTCTCCACATTAACACTAATTAGCAGAGCTTCCATTCTCCCCTTCCCTGACTTCAAGTGTGCTTGACTCTCACATACATTTGTAAGGGCTTTTTCCATATGTAGACTATTACTTACTATTTTAGAACTGTAGGAATAGAACCTAGAAATTCAACCTAGAAAAGACTGAGATATATTGCTGTGTAGATTAGTGGAAGGCTAGGGCCATTCGTGACGACAGAGCACAGAACGAGGGGGCACCAGGGCAAGGACTTCATGCTGACACAGCTCTTGGCCACACAACTCTGTTGAGTCTTGGATTAGAATAAATTAAATAACATTTTTTATAAGCCCAATAAGTGATGGGTGTGTTTAGAGGGATGGCTGGCAGCCTAATTCTCAGGTCTAATGGTAACTTAAGGAAGAATTCATTTGAAATTCCAAACAATCAGTTTATAAACGTGCCCATGACATAATGCAGAGACAAGGCCTATTTGTAACTGAGGACTACCTGTAATTCTGCAAGATTCCCTCTGGGAATCCACATCAGATCTATTACCTAAAAATACATGAGTCATTGGGTTTTGAGGACACTCACTCACTTAAGCTTTCTCTAGGAAAAGTTCATTGGAATTCAGGAAGATCTGAACATTCAGGCTTAAGCGAGGACCTAGCCACTCTTTCTTTTTTTTTTTTTGCAGTTTTTGGCCGGGGCTGGGTTTTGAACCTGCCACCACCAGCATACAGGGCTGGCGCCTTACTCCTTTGAGCCACAGGCACCACCCCCTGGCCACTCTCTTTTCTGTCTCTCTTGTGGTTTCTCTGGAAAAATTCTCTTCAGTATACCTACACACCAGCGGGTTAGTTACTGTTTTTAATAAGTAATACTTGCATCTGATACAGAATTCAAAAGGTCTACAAGAAGGCAACCCAGTGAAAAGCCTCCCTTCTCTTCTGCCACATTGTTCCCTTCCCCAGGGCCAGCCCCATCACCAGGTTCTAAGAGCTCCTTCCAGAGATGTTCTTCCCTGCATCAGCATGTGTGCTATGAGTGTGTTTGCTGTCCTTTTAGCGCTCTCTAGCATCGGCTCGGTGCCCATAGCACAGTGGTTTTACAGCACCAACCACACACACCAAGGATGGCGGGTTCGATCCCGGCCCAGGCCGGGCCAGCTAAACAACAAATGCAACAAAAAAATAGCTGGGCACTGTGGCAGTCGCCTGTAGTCCTGGATACTTGGGAGGCTGAAGCAAGAGAATCACTCAAGCCCAAGAGTTTGAGGTTTTTGTGAGCTGTGACACCATGGCACTCTACCAAGGGTGACATAGTAAGACTGTCTCAAAAAAAAAGAACTCACTAGCATGCCTTTTGCCCTGTTCTGTTGAGGTCTCTATGTGTATGTCTTTTTTTTTTTTTTTTTGAGATGGAGCCTCAAGCTATCCCCCTGGGTAGAGTGCCATGGCATCACAGCTCACAGCAACCTCCAACTCCTGGGCTCAAGCGAGTCTCCTGCCTCAGCCTCCCAAGTAGCTGGGATTACAGGTGCCCGCCACAACGCCTGGCCATTTTTTGGTTGCAGCCATCATTGTTGTTTGGCGGGCCCGGGCTGGGGATTCGAACCTGCCACCTTAGGTGTATGTGGCTGGCGCCTTAGCCGCTTGAGCCACGGGCGCCGAGCCTATGTGTATGTCTTTGAGTTTTGCTCATACTGGTGCATAAGGAGCTTCTTTATGCTTTTTGGCAGCTACATGGTATTCTCTTGTGTAGATGAGTCATGATTTTATTTAACCTGTTTCATACCGATGAAACATTCGTTTCCAGTCCTTCATGTTTACCAGTTTGCTGCAGCAACCAGCCTCGTGTATGTGCTAGTTCACATAAATGGGAGCAACTCTGCAAGATGCCACCTCTAAGTGGAATTTGCAGGGATCCTGACATGTCTGACCTTTTCTCCAGGCCAAAGGATGCCATCCGAGCCCTGAAGAAGCGGCTCAACGGGAACCGGAACTACAGAGAAGTGATGCTGGCGTTAACAGTGAGTGCTGCTTCTGGGGAGCTCCATGCCTTTGCTCTTGCCCCTCACAGGGCCTTCCTCTGCCCATGCAGCACAGCTGCTGAATGTCTTGGTGCCTGGGCCATGGAGCCCAGCAGAGACTGGTATTTCCCTCTGGTGTTCCTGCCCTCCTCTTAGCAGGGTGAACTTCACCTCAGTAAGAGTGTGGGAGCAGAAGCCCAGGCATGGGCAGCCCTGTCAGGTAGAGAATCTCACAGCAAAAGAGCCAAAGGCCTGGATATGGGTCCCCTGTCTGCCACCAGCCTGATCTGAGACTGGGACAGCTACTTCTCTACCTGTCAGTTCTTTACAAATGTTAACTTTCACCTCCTAAGTGCCTACCTGGGACTGTGCTGAGCTTTAACAGATGTTAATGCAGATGTTTGTAACTACCTTCCACCAAAATAGGTTTTATTATGCTCCTCATACAGGTGAGGAGATTGAGGCCCAGAGAGGTCTAGGGGTGCACCCTGATACCCAATAAGCTGCCGAGCTGTGGTGCCATCAGAGAATGGCCTTTGTATGAGGTGAAAACTACAAAGCCTGCACTCTCCATAGTCAACTGAGTGGCTCCTTTCAGGGAGGAGCAGGCCAGAGTTTTGTTCTTCCTTAAGATGTCAGATAATTAAAAGGGACGACTTCAGGTGTTATTTCTGGCTTGAAAGCTAACAGTTTTTCAGATGTGGCAAAATCTGGGCCACAGTGAATTCTTAAAATAGGAACTATAACAGGTCAGCAGGTCAACTTCTCAGTAGGTTTGAAATAGCGGATTATTTATCCAAAACAGCTATAACATGTTTCCTTTTAAAGCAGAGAAATTATTTGGATTTTTTGCCCCAGTAAAAACAAAAAATATATATAAAGAGATTCTTTCTGCCAGAGAATTGGGACTTGAATAATCAAGGAGAAACCAGCAGTGGAGAAGCTGGGAGTTGGACATTTTTTATTATTTTTTTCTCAGAATTTGAGACACAGCACTACGAAACCCAGATTGACACCCAAAATGAATTGTTTTCAATAACTCCGATCTCTGGAGAATGAGCTCTGACACACCAGGGCATTTTGCTGGTGTCTGAATCTCCCCCCCTTACACACCCGACTCTGTGGTGACCATAGTGCATGGGAATCTCCCCGAGTGGAGCTGGTGTTTACTTGCCTTCAACAGCAGGGCACAGGGATATTGTCTGACCTTACCTGATGGTCAGGTCTTCACTGTGAATCCAGCCCTGCCTTTAGGAGGCTCATGAAATGTGCCATCGCGCCACCCCAGTGGCCCACCCCAGCACGCCCTGCATGGCCTCTTGTCTGGTTTTGTGGCTTCACTTACCCTGTCAGTAGACCTCGATCTTCCTGTTTCTTGTGGCCTTTTCCTAACTTCCTATCTGCACCCACCAAGATGGTTAATATTTACCCCAAACGAGAGTTAGTAGGAGGTCCTGAGGCGCTCTTTGCTTGTATCTTTGTGTCTGGACTTGAAATGTCCATTTCCGATTGCTTAGAGGTCCCCTTCTTATTCTGTGGGTTTTGGCTATGTTCTAGAATATTGCCACTGTGTGTTTCATGCCCCATAAGCTATGGGGACAGATCTGCCAGGGGCCTGTTTGGCAAGATGTCCTGAAGTGGCCCTTGCCAGTCCAGGGACAACCTCCTCCTGCCTCTCCTGCTCAGTCAGGCTTTGGGGCTGCTCTGTGGCACAGGCATCTCTGTGTGGGACATTTCCAAGGCCAGGGTGGAATACACTGATCTTGAGGTCACTGTCCAGAAACAGTTGAGGGTGTGCTCCCTTAAAGGCAGGAAGGTGGGGGATGCTCCCCTAAAGGCAGCAGTAGCCCCTTCCCACGGCTGCCCTGAGAGTGGAGCAGAGCCTATGGTGCCCTGCCCCTCCTCTCTTTCCAATTCCTTTTCCTACTTGCTTGCATTCTTCCTACTTGCTCTGCCTTTTGCCACCTCTCCTAATGGAATAAACATACTTCCTGCCACCTATCTTGGTCCTCACAGCTCACTGCCTGAGCTAGGAAGAGGGTGTGAGAGAACCCTGGAGAGATGGGTGCCTGTAAGCTCCTTGGGGCAGGAAAAGCCCTTCTGGTTCATCTCTGTAGGCCCCACAGATCACTAAGAGAGGGAGTGCAAGTTATCTCATGGTCACCCAGAATCAGTCTCAAGCAGAGGCTAAAAAAGGGGAATGCCTCCTTCACTGAATAAAACTTATGATTGTTTAAGGCCCCAAGAATGCTAAGCCTCAGCACTTTCCTCGGCAGGCCATGCAGAACCCAGAGTCTCCCATGGTGCAGGGGATAGCAGGGCGAGGACGAGTCTGGCCGGCACAGAGCTGCCACAGGGGAGATCCCTGGCTCTGGCCTCCTCAGTTAAATTACACGGCAGCTCTAATGTGGGATAATACCCACCTTACAGGGCTATTTCAAGGACCAAATGAGGGAATGAGAAACCTAGGACATGTTGCCTGTCGCCAGAGGGACTCTCAGCTGCTGTGGCTCCGCAGAGGAGAGCTGTGAGGGAGGGGTGGCCCCATGGCCCCAAGGTGGGCAAGAGGATAGGTCTCCAGAGGGGGCTGCATGAGCTCCCATCCTGCCCTGGTACTGACGGTACTCCTGGACCAGTGTCTTTACCTTTGCAAACCTATTAACTCTTTAAAGGGAGGATAATAAAGTCCACTTAAGGAGAAGTAACTAGTTGTGAGAATCGAGTGAAATTACATGTTACTTGGAAGGATCTCTCCCAGCCCCTGCCATGTAGTTTGCATTCAATGTTGCAGTTATGGACCTTTCTTTATAGCTGTACTTTGTCAAGGTCAAGCCAAACCTGTGAAGTGGCTACCTAAGTTAACCAGTGGTCAGATCAGCTTGGGCAAAAGAGAGTAACAGGGGCAGTCAGAAATGGGCCCATTGCTAGTGGCCCCTTTCAAAGGAGGTGTTCCCTAGCTGGGAAGGTGTGGCCCAGGGGTGGTGGTGTGGGAAGGGCCAGGAAATGCTATGGGTTGGTTTACAGAGAGCTGGGAAGTTTAGGGAGCCGTGTTCGAGGCCAGAGAGGCCCTCCAGGTTAGTACCTCAGGATTCCAAGGGGCCTTCCAGTTGTCCTGTGGGAGAATAAGAAGCTGTCTCCTGACTCCCATCTAGCGACCTTCTGAATAGTGACCGTGCAGTCACAGCCAGCACTTCCTGGTTCCTTACCCTGTTAGGTACTTCAAAGAATAAGATGTTCTGGCTCAGCGCCTGTGGCTCAAGCAGCTAAGGCGCCAGCCACATACACCTGAGCTGGCAGGTTCGAATCCAGCCTGGGCCCGCCAAACAACAATGACAGCTGCAACCAAAAAATAGCCAGGTGTTGTGG